TTTAGATAATGAATTATTAAATAAGCGATTAAAAAACGAAATTATTTTTATACATTAAAAATTAACGTAGGCCTATTTTTCAAGCGTTTCAATAAGTAGATGTTGATGGATATGCGTACATCGATACACAACAGTGCGTAAAAATACAGAACAAAATTACACGCGTTATCTACACGCGCAAACTTTTTTTTTCTTCTTCCTCCCCTCCCTCTCCTCCTCCCTCTCCTCCTCCCTCTCCTCCTCCCCTATTCTCCTCCCCTCTCCTCCTTCCCTCTCCTTCTCCCCTCTCCCCGTCCCCTCCCCAAGTGGCACCACCCCTGGTCATCGACTGCCCGCTAACTGTGGGTAGGAAATGCACTTCCGCAACAACATCAGACTATCGATCGCATCTGGACGTCTGGCGGCAGCAGAGTTAATCAGGTAGAAGTTATCCGCCATTGAGGTTGTTCGAAGAGACTGAGGCTAGCTAGGCCTAGATAAATCTTCATAATAGTTATATTTTTATGTACATTACTTGATGACGTTTTAAATAATATCTGTTTACTATCACTGTGTTTATTATTTTCAGAATTGAATCGATTTATTTTGATTTTGATACTAACTGCTGTCCGTAGTGTAGGACCAAGCTAGGCTAGCGGGTAGCGCATCTGGTTGGTGTATTTGTTGAGACACGACACAGCGGCAGTCTGGCGGTTGCTTGGTATTGCCCAACATTTTTGGAAGGACGGTTGGTAGGATGTAGCTTAGCGTATTGAAGACACCAGCGTTGTAGTCACTTTTCGCCATAACTTTTGGAATTTTTTTATTGATAGTATACTTGATAATAACTGGATATAGAAAATAGCTATTCATCCTGGATTTTTTGTCTTGCTGTTTTGAAAATTTGAGAAGTTTCAATTGACATTTTTATTGTGAAAATTCGTATAACACTAAAACAGTTTGATAAATTTCCTGCTGTACAGTCAGTAGACTGGCTATCTTGGGTGGAGCTGTGTTTTAGATTGATTTCTTTTGGATATTTTACAATATATTATTAAAAATGGATGAAAATATACCAAAGTTTGCCACAATAGAGGAAGAGGCTTTATACTGGAAAAATCTGTCACTGGACTTAAAACAAAGGTAAGTTTTTGTAATTTATATTGACTTTAAAACTTGGCCTACCCTACTAAATTAGTAAAAATAATAATAATAATAATATGTCATTGCCTAATCATAATCACTGTCTACCTACATATCTAGCTACTATGCCTAGGACTATGTAGTGATTCAATTAAACTATTATTAGGCCTAGGCCTATAGATATATTTTATTTAAATAATAATAATAATAAGATTTATTAAGCGCACATCTCCACTAAATTGCTCAAGGCGCTTGTGAAAACCATGAAAAAGCTTATCCTTTTAAACTAAAGGCTACCAGAAAAACGGCCATAACCCACATCACTGCTTCCGTTTACCAGCAATTTAAGGTGCAAAGACCGGCTAGTACATAACTCACAGGTGTTCTCAGTTTTGTGGGCATCTAACTAAACAAATTAAAGAACAAAACAAAAAAATCAATTCACAATAAATGAATTTCCTTGAGCAACAAAAAATAGATGTGTTTTCAGAGCACGTTTGAACAAAGCAGTCGACGAACTTGATCTTATTTCAAGAGGTAATCTGTTCCACAAACGGGGGGCCGCAACTACAAAAGATCTGTCACCCCATGACCTCATGGACCTGGGCTCAACCAGCAATCGTCTATCACCTGAACAAAGATTTCGTGATGGCACATGCCACACCAAGAGACTACGTAAATACTCTGGACCTTCACCGTTTAGCGTTTTATACGTGATTAAAAGGATCTTAAAAACGACCCTATAATACACAGGCAGCCAGTGCAATTGTTGTAGAATTGGAGTAATGTTTGCATGTTAGATACAATCAAAATCAACTAAAATTTGCCCAGAAAATTTCTGGTAAACAGGTGTGCAAGGTTGTAACTGTAAACATTGTTAGGTGAGTCTATGACTTATATTATACAGCAGAAATGATAGGCTAATGCCAGGACCCAATTTTCTACAACATTTTGCGCATAAATTGAAATTTTTTTAATGCACGACAAATTTCTAGGCCTAAAAGTAAATTTTTGCTCAAAGTGGGCCACAATTTAGATTTCATATCCTCAAAATATAGGCACTGTAGGTCTAGGCCCTACTAGGCCTACTAATATGTTTGGCCCTGTGGAGGCAGTATGATGTTACGCATCTGTAGCCTACATTTATTTTGATGCAGTAAAGTCTAGATCTTGCCCTAGACAGCACATTGTTCACATGCATAGTGAAGCCACAAGCTTGTGTTGAGAGCCAGGAAGAGGTACTATTTTACAAACAATGTGCTAATTACAGTAATACACAGTGTCTCAAAAGGTAAACACTGTGTAAAAATATGCATCTTATTCTTCGCACCATTGTTTGCAAAATGATTCACAACAAATCATGAACAGATCATCTGTTTGCTCTCTCAAAATTGTGTCCTGATTCTTCAGTATTTATGTTTTCATAAATCATTTTGGCGTTTCGAAAAAAGCTGGATGACGACATACTGTACTGAAAAATAGATTTGCTGATCAATAACAAAATTATTAAGATGCTTGCCATTGAACAAATCCTACAGTACAGTGGGAAAAATCATCCCAAGCCCCATAAACGACTTACTGTACAATAGATTAAATTACTAAACTGTACTGATGATAAATGAGACTTGATTTATCACAATGTACTGTAAAGGTTGGTAACAAAAAAAAAATGTAATAGTTTTGAAAGGTTTGTATTTAATGTAAATATTGGAGAGTACTGTACTTGTAATTATGATCCTAGATTATTAACAAGGAAATTTGCATTAGACCACTGCAGACCTGTGGCAGCCATTGTTTAGCAGCTATTGTCTGCACATGTGTCATTGATGTGGGACACTTACTGTATATCGAAGGGGAAGTCCACACTAAAATACCTCAGTTCCACCGCGGTTGGCTAAGGTGAGACAATTTTAATAATACCTGTATGGCACCTCAAGAATGGCCATAAATGCAAACACTCAGGCTAGGGACATGAATGAAATAAACAAACTTAGGAAATTCATTTTATTAATAGTACATATTTTTTTAAATACCAAGTAAATTCCACTCATATGCATGAACTTATGTGTGGCTTTTAACTACATTTTAAAAATGCTAGCGGGATCGCGGGAAATCATTTTTTGCTGTGACTTTTACACTATTAAAATGCTGGATACTTTCGCAGGTCAACAGTCATCCTCTAGCTACCTTCGTTATGACGTTTACTCCATCTCGGTAGATTTGTAAAATCAAGGAGAGAAATTTATGTACTTCCTTGTTGTGGATAAGTGACAGGAGACTAATCTATCATTTTTCCAGGCTTTTTACAATAAGTTTTATTTGTGATTACAAGTTGGTCATGAGATTAAGACAAGTTACTTCATTCATTACACAATAGAATGCAGCATCTTTTGATACTACATTGTTATATTAAGCCTTTGTGTTGCATTCCTGTGGCATGACCCAATCCATTGAGAAACCAGCATTTTTTCGTGTATCTTTCCAATAATTTTCCAGTAGTTGCCTGCAATACTGCATGTGCTGTTTATAAATACAATGCAGTATGTTTTTACTACTGTTGAGTCGTTTGTGATTGCATCATTTATCTACAGCTGGGCAGAATGCCTAGCTTAGCATCATGATCACATGGTCTCTCAGCGGAGAGTGAAATACTGTACAGTACATGGAGGAGAAGGAAGTTTATTTTAGAATGGACTTCCTGCCGAACGTGGCAGAGACACGGATGCAATATTAACTACATACTGTACCTTGTAAATTAATTTACTAAATTTAAGAAAAAATGTGTTGTGTACAGTTAATGCCTCTCAAAGAATTGAACATCATTAAATTTGATGCATATACATTAGACATGCCCTTTGAAGAAATTGACCTAATTATATACACATTTGCTTTACACTTTCCTGTGTTAGCTCTCATGAATTGTGTATCAAATTAGTTAAAGCCAAATATAAGGTTATTAGAAACAAATAAGAAAAAAAAAAGATTATTAGTGTGGCCAACTAAGGTGGATCAAAATTATTGTATTTGCAATGATTTTCAAATGCAATAGAATTAACAAAATACCGGTATTTACTGTATGTTGGATGGAAACTGGTTCTAAAATAGGAAGTTTATTCCTCTCTAAACTTTATTGAACATATTGTACTATACAGATACTGTAGTGTTGTATAACCGTATGTCACAAAATTATGCAAATTATCGTACCAATGAAAATAGAACAAAGTACAGTAGTAGAACTAAACCCACTATATCTTTGGTACCAAAAATGTCTCCCCTTATTATAGGGATGTCCCCTAATGGTTAGGGGCACTCCTACAAGGTGTATATCTCCTTATATGGGCACTCCTGAATAGGAAACACCCCTACTGTACTGTTGAGTGACTGTTTAGTTTGCATGCTACAATAGTGTACTACAGAATTAGACTACATTATATTTATAGTATGTAGAGTAGAATTGTTGCCCTAAAGGGTACTTTTTGATTTATTCAGTACATTATAATTACAACTAGAGACTCTGTTTTGAATGGAACCTAATACTATTTATTGCAAGAGTTTGTTTTCATAATAATGAGATATTGATCTTTACAGTAGTACAGCCAGTAAACCTGAGTGAACAGACTCTATGTGTGCATTATGAATTCTGGTTCATATTTCATTGATAGTGTTTATAAACAGTACAGTACACTGTAGGGTCAATGTGAAGGTCAATACTGAAAACAGTAGAAAGAATATACCAATGTGAAGGTCATTACTGGAAATTTTAAATAAAATATATGATACAGTATGTGATGGTAATTCTGATTTACAGTAATGTTGATTTAATACTAAAATAGTTTTCTTTGATATCATTTGATTTCAAAAATGTTTCCATGTTGGTAAGGGTGATCTTGTCTAAAATTAATGTCTGAACTCTCTTCATACTGTATTTCTGATATTATTAATAAATAAAATCTAACAACATACAGACAGCATTCTGTAGTGTTTAATGGGTGCTAGATGATATTTTACCTCAGCAAAGAATACACAGTATATGAAAATCTCTTTATTCATTAAGACATAAAAAATATACTGAATGGTATATAAAGGATAAAAAGTATTTACAGGCCTATTGTAGGTCAAGGCTGGATCACAGCAATGCAAGGCAAAAAATTACAAAATCCGATTTGCAGAACATTAAAAGGTATAAACTATAGAACAACATTAAAATCACAAGCTCACAAAAAAACAAGATTGCACAAGAAAACAACAATTAAATGGGCTACATGTACAGTAGTCAGTTATTTGGAAAAGGCATCTTGAGTCTAGATGTTGTTATGTAGAGTAAACACCCTTCCAGTTCCTCTTCTCTGTGTTAAGACTGTGATGACATCATCTAAACTATAGTTTCTACGTTGCTCATTCTGGCAATAAAATTCCCACTGCTCCGAAGTCATGCAAGGAATGCATCTCTTGAATAACTTACGCTTGAGCGCACACATCAGTTCATAGCAGACATCTGCTCCCTATCTTGACCTCTCTTTCCAACTGCTGAGAGGGGGAGCTGTCACAATAGCACCAGCCAATAATGGTACTGTGCTGAGCAAACTTTACCACCATTGAGTGTGATGCTGGTACTGTCATTCTGTGGAGTTCCGTTATTAAGCTAACATAAGCTCATATTGACATTAGATTCTACTTACTGTAGTTGTTGCTGGTATAAAGACAGGTATGAATGTTTTAACTGCATACTTTTATCTTTAGTTCCCGTCATGTTTCAAGTTTAAGTGCTAGGATCCTGCTAAATTATAATTTTAGTATTTTACATGTAATTTTATTAAATGAAAATTTAATCTAATTTTCATTCTAATAATTCTCTGTGAAGTTTTTGTATATTATAATTGTGTATGTAAAATTGTGTATTGTACCTGTACTTCATTCAATAACTTGAGAAAAATTAGCCACGTGCTTGTATACTGTATAGCTGAGTTGGTCTCATTGGCGCATCTACTGTACTGTAGGGG